TGAACTGAAGGACTATATAAGAACAACTTTCTTGTAGATGGTCAAACCAGGCAGATAAAATCATCCTCACAGCCGGTCGATTTGCCTGGTGCTCAGCCCTTAATGAAACCCTTATGCAAATCAAACTCATTTTCACATGATAAGTTTTGCATGGGGGATCCTTTGAACACACAGGTAAAAGGTAACTCGGAAATGGGCTATCACTAGTTTGAATTTGATTCTGACAAGGTCTATTGACAAGGCCAAAACCACCGAACATCTGTATATTGAGGTCTACAGTGGAGCTTTGATGTCAGCAGAGCTATTTTCCATGCACAAACAGTTGAAGTATGGGTTCCTGTCAAAATTACAGTAAGTTACAGTCACTCGGATTTCTTCAGAGGTTTACAGTCTGTATGATAAGCTATCGAGTATATGGGCCTCAGTAGTGCCAATTGGTTAATACAATAATAAGTATTAAAATAGAGTCACCCTGAATGAAGTTTCCTTTCTTACAACATTCTTCTTTCAGTGCTACTTGAGAATAACTTGATTGTACCATATTTCACAGCTGTGCTGTATGTGGTGTTGAAATCTATTTTCATTGATTGTGTCTTACCATGTGTGAATGGGTTTTGCAATGATTATTTTTAATGGACAGGTGTAAATAAAAGTGAATTTGTGCTTTTCCTTCTAGTATATGCACTTGCTCTTAACAATTCTAAACATTACTAGACGAAACTTAAACACATAAGCAGACTCAAATAGGGAAAAATTTGAACTGAACCTTTCGTTATCTGCACTTGATAATGACAACAAGATGACACCGAGACATCATGTTTCTGCATTTATTTTTCCTATATCTTCTTTAATCAGATTACTAGACCGTGACATAAGTAAATATTTTCAGAGAAACATGCCTCCCTTTTGATTTTTATCTGAATTTTTGGTGTGAGTGTGTTGTTTGTTTGTTTGTTTGTTTGTTTGTGCCACTGACAGTCTTGAAATGGATCATGCCCATGATATTCCCCAATATTTCTGTGCCAAATATTCATATAACTCAAAGGAACTTAAGATAGTTCTGCGGTTGTTCGGTCAGATTAGCAACTGAATGACAATGCCTTTTAACATCGAGTTTCTTACAGGAAACTCTAATTTTATTGATTGAAATTAATCCACATAAATATTTCTGCAGACTTCCACAATGTTATTGAAATCCAATGTACAATGCATCATTGTGAGTTGCAACTAATAACCCTTTTCACAGTTACCTTTGCTCATTTGCATTACAATAAAATCTAGCATGTATGTGAGGCAATTACGGGCTATTTTGTAGTTTTAGCCCGAAATTGCCTCGCATCCATGTTAGATTACATTGCAATGCAAATGAGAAAAATTTAACGTGAAAAGGGCTATTCATAACAAAATATAAATAGTAAAAGTAAATTTATAAGGTCAATTTTCTATGGAACATGAGATTAAGAATGACTTAAAGCTTGATTAATAATTTATTGTAGTAATTATCATCATTGAAGTACTTATTAATTCTTTTGTGTATCAGTATCACATTGATCTCATAATTTGAATTCAAAAAAAAACAATACAGACTATTCTTAGCACAAAAAGTAAAAAATAAAAAAGTATTATAGTTAGTTCTTATTAACTGAGCAGGAGGTCTGTATGGGAGAATCTTGACTGAGGTTGTGAGCACAGACTGCACTCGGTTGTGTGTACAGACCTCACTGCATTTGGTCTGTACACAACTGAGGTCAAGACTCTCCCATACAGATCGACTAAGCTTGGTTAATAAGATGTTACTTTATTATATGGCAAACAATAACAATTTAATTGATTAATGTAACTGACATTTTGCTTGCGAACGGTGATTTGCTGAACTTAATTCGGCCAGAGTTTGCTTGTCCTCTTTACTGTTTTTTCTCATCAGGCTTTTTGGCAATCCAGTAAATAAATATTGTTAGAAGAAAATAGTCATTATTTTTGCATCTTGGTTTGCAACTTTTTCACCGCACAACGTTAACAGTCTAGATGGGAAAATCTAGTCTGATTTCAGCCAATCAAATTTGTGAATTCGGTAGTTCCAAGTCCTTGTGAGACAGCCATATAACAATAACAATTATTACCTAAAGCTTAATTTCAAAGTAAAGCTTAATTCAGTGGTTATTTTAAAACTCTTGGAAAACTGAATGAATGATCATTTTCCCTTTTAGATTTATGGCTTCTGGTATTCAGTGTAACAATTTTGCCCTCTAGACCTCCAAAGACATCAGTCATGGACATTTTTCTAATTTTCCCAACATGCACTGACTGATCTTCAGAAACAAAGCTGACAGTATACACTAGATCCAGGCCTTCATCTGAATCTCTAAGCACAGGCTCTGATATGAGACTGGGCACCAATCGTAAACATGATTTGGGTTTGGTATCACCTTCCTTGACGTTGAACAAATTTTCATATTCCTCAGGACCTGTAATAAAATAATTAAATTTAATTATCTATGAAATGATTGAGATTCATCAAAAGCTCACCATGTGACTTGCCATCACATCAAACTGTCTATAAGGAATGGGAACACATTGGTGTTGAAGTTACTAAATAAACCTAAATTGTTTACTTGAGAAACATTAATTTCTGTTTGCCATGTAATGTTCAACGCTCTCTCCCTTCCATAATTTGAAATCTAAGAATACAGACTGGGATACCTGTCTCCTCCTTCATCCCCCTTCTCCCCATCTTCACCTTTTGGACAATCTCTGTCTAAAACATTGCTATTAGTGAATAGTAGCCCCAAGGTGACCTACATGTACACTGTTGTCTGTCCATGGACCTTAACTTTGCTGAGGTCTCCAAAGTAAGAGGGTGTGGGTGGGTGAAGAAAACCTTTTGTGGGCTGCCCTGTGGATGCTCTTGCACTCCACACTTGCGCTTTGTGCCTCTGCTTCACCCATTCACTTATTCAGGCTGTGGACAGACCAAGAGGTGACCTGTCCAACAGAACATTTACCTGACTGTGCAGAATCAGTCTTCATGTAAGCACTTACCTAGGTAAAGGGGACCTTCTTCTGTTATTTCAGTAATCAGCTGCCTCCCATTAGCATCTTTTATCAACAGAACAGCCATGAAGGAATCTGTGTTGTCACTTGAACTCTGGACACACTGTGATCTTGACTGTGAGGACTGCACTGATCTCTTGTGGTAAGATGGCTCTTTAGCTGCCACTAACTTTGACACATCTTTGAGATTAGCTTGAAGGGCATCTTCTGTTGGAAATTGCTGGTTGTGAATGTTGCTCTTTGATGTCATTTGAAGGTCATTTTCCTCATCTACTCTTCTAGTTGGCTCAGGAGGGAATTCTTTGAGTACTTTTGGATTGGACGGATGGACAGAATGGTCTCTTGACATGGGGGCCTGTGATTCTTCTGCATTGTGATTGGTCTCGTCTTTCTTGTGGTTGGGCAGATCACTGAGTTCCTCTTCCAAATCCGTGGTGTGCATGTCTAGATCAGCTACAACATCAGAATTCTCATCACCACTGATTGGAATCAGTTCCTCATTGTAACCTCTCCTATGCAATGGGAGACCAACTAGCCACTTGTTGTCAGCTTTATGATGTTCTTCATAAGTGTTGAAAAGCTTTTGAGAGGCAAAAGAAGGATCATCAGAATACTTCTTCAAAATTTCTGATAAAAAGGCAACTTGAAATTCCTTTGAGGCTACATCGCCATTGCCGTCATCATCATCATCATCATCATCATCATCATCCTTATCCTCATCCTCATCTTCACTGCTGTCAGAATTAAAGCGGTCAAAAAAATTGTCATCATAGTTGACATTGTCAAACTCCTGATTATAAAGCCGATGTAAAGAAGAAATATCCGATACAGAAAATATCTTGTGCTCTTCTTGATGGCGTCTTTGCCTTGATATCGGTTTTTCAGCAGAGTTACCATCACTGCCTTGTTGCTGAATTTGTCTGGACTTTCTGGGTTTAACAATCAAAGTCAGGGCCTCCAACTTTGGAAGCCACATCACAAATGCCTGTTGTGTACTTAAGTCTCCTGGTACAGGGATTGGTGCCACAGGTAGGCCAGCCATACTGTGAAACAACCAGCTCAACTCCCCTGTGCGCCCATCGATGACCAAGATTCCAGAGGAATGATTAGCATAAGAAACAAACACACCAACATCTGTGGAGTTTTCTTTAACAGTGTGCTGAGTCGGGAACAACCTAGCAAGCAAGAAAAGAATAAAGTTAGCAGATGGATTGTAAGAATGCAGCTTTAAATATACTACTGAAAACTACTATCCTGGTCAAAAGTCTACAAACGATCTGTCAACCTCCCCCTCCCCACCCTTAACAAAATAACGATGTTGATCCATCCAAGCTAAGCTCAATGTTCCAGCATGCATTGGAGGACAGTGAAGCAGGGGGGAGGGGGGTGGTCACTTTATGAAATCGAATAATGAATTCACTCTTCAAAAGGAATTCCAAGGACTTTTGACCAAAATAATGAGGAAAATGTTTCTTCAGAATTGTTAAGCCTGTGTGTCAAGAGCAAAAGCATTNATAACAAACAACTTATTAACCTTGAATATTCGGTCTTTACAGGAAAATCTCAAACCTCGGCCTTGCTGTATTGATCTCACTGTTACTCGGTCAATATGGCAAGGTCTACATTGGAAATTTTTGCATAAATACCCCATTCTTGGTCAATAAGTTGTTAATATCAAACATTTAGCTTAATCACTATGTATAGAGTCACTGGCTAACCCACACCAAACCTCCAAAATATTTACCAGTTGAGGTCATCAATTTGATAAATATTGATGAAGAACCTGACTTTTATTTTGAATGTTATGTTTTTTTAAAAGGACAAGTCCTATTGGACAAGAATTCTCCTCAGATCAAAACTGTTGTGAACAAGACAAACACTATTCATGATGTCTTTCGCTTCTTCAAGATGGAAGTTATAGCAGGCGAAAAAAACTTATACACATCTGTAAAACAAGATGGCTGTATTTTTGAGTTTGACTTTTCAAAAGTGTATTGGAATTCCCGTCTTCAGACAGAGCACAGCCGTCTGGTTGAGTTCTTCGACTCTGATGATGTAGTGAGCGACATGTTTGCAGGAGTTGGTCCGTTTGCTATTCCTGCTGCAAAGAAAGGATGCACTGTTTATGGGAATGATTTGAATCCTGCGTCATATGAAGCACTGTTAAAAAATGCAAAGCTTAATCACGTGGAAGATAAAATACACGCCTTTAATATGGATGGCAGGGACTTTGTGAGAAAAATTGTTCAGCTTTCATTGCCGTCATCATCATCATCATCAACTGAACAAAGCCTCCATGAAAATGGTAGTAAGACCCTGAAACCATTTACTCACATTGTTATGAATCTGCCTGCTAGCGCTGTTGATTTTCTTGACGTTTTCCAGGGTCTTTACTCTGGATGTAGAAATGAAGTGCTTCCAATGATTCACTGCTATTGCTTTTCCAAGTCCCAGTCTCCTGGCGAAGATGCCAAAGAGCAAGTGGAGAAGAAACTGGGAAGTAGACTTTCAAGCCAGTGCTATATTCACTGTGTGCGTGACGTCTCTCCAAAGAAGGTTATGGTTTGTGTTTCATTTAAGTTACCTGAATCAATTGCCTTTGCTGATGTCTCTGAAATGTGCAACAATGATTCCAAAAGACTGAGAGATGATAGTGGTAAGTTGTAATGAAATTCTTGTTGTGTCTGTTATTTTTCCCAGTGGTGTAATAACTAGTTGAACCTCTTCAGAATGGCCACGCTGGGGACAGGGGAAAATAACCATTGTAGAGAGGTGGCTGTTTTGGGGAGGTAGGACTGTAATATGACACCTGTCTTTTTGAGGGGTGTAACATTTTTATATTTAAATAATGCTTATTGTAGCATGTAAATATGTTACACAATCAAAATAGATTGATAAAACAGAAACCAAACAGAAACAGAGACCAACGTCGCATGGTAGGGATCAAAAATTATTTTCATCACCTATTGCAATAACAATGGGGTTTTGTATGANACTAGGAGTATTTCTACTCCCCCCTGGATGGGATGCTAGTCCATCACAGGGTTACCCTCAGCATTAAGTTCGTCGTTACCCTTTTATACATCTGGGTGGAGAGAGGCACTGTGAGAGTAAAGTAGAGAGGTGGCTGTTATGGGGAGGTAGGGGTGTAATATGACACCTGTATTTTTCAGGGGTATAACATTTTTATATTTAAATAATGCTTATTGTAGCATGTAAATACATTACACAATCAAAATAGATTGATAAAACAGAAACCAAACAGAAACAGAGACCAACGTCGCATGGTAGGGATCAAAAATTATTTTCATCACCTATTGCAATAACAAATGGGGTTTTGTATGATGCACTGGTCATCAGTTGTTAATTAATTGGCCATTGGCGAGAGGTTATTTTGGCATTTGGGACATGCTTTTGTCACCATTGCTATTGTGGAGAGGTTGAAATAAGAGTGACTGTATGGACTGTGTGTGGGGACCAGAAAAAAGTGGCTGTTATAGAAAGGTTGCTGTTGTATTGAGGTAGCTGTTAGTGAAGGTTCAACTGTACTAGTATTAACCAGTATGAAGGAGCTGTGATGGACTGGCATCCCATCCAAGGAAAGTAACAATGTTGCCAACTGCTTCACGTTACAGAAACCAGCTGTAAGTACAGGAACTGATTTGAAAGGTATCTGTCTTCTCCAATCCCTTAGATTAGAAACCTTGTAACCATTTTTTTTTTATTTCTTCTTTGAAAACTCTGGGGAACATAAACATCACGAAACACAGTTGTATTGTGTAGCCAATGTTTAGTACTACCCAGTAACATGCAGTCAAGTTTCCAATGTTTTTGTCTTTACAACTGTTTGGGAAAGTTTGCATCAGGCCAAGTGGCTCAAACAGCTGGAGCTTACCCTGGTTTCCACAGCATTAAGTAATTAGGAGTACAGTGGAACCCCGTTAATACGACCACCTTTGGGCCATGAAAAATTGGTCGCATTAATGGGGTGGTCGTATTAAAGGGGTTCTTTAAACAAGAAAATGACTGACTGAGCTTTTTTTTNCATTTGGGACATCCTTTTGTCACCATTGCCATTGTGGAGAGGTTGAAATAAGAGTGACTGTATGGACTGTGTGTGGGGACCAGAAAAAAGTGGCTGTTGTAGAAAGGTTGCTGTTGTATTGAGGTAGCTGTTAGTGAAGGTTCAACTGTACTAGTATTAACCAGTATGAAGGAGCTTGATGGGCTGGCATCCCATCCAGGGAAAGTAACAATGATGCCAACTGCTTCACGTTACAGAAACCAGCTGTAAGTAAAGGAACTGATTTGAAAGGTATCTGTCTTCTCCAATCCCTTAGATTGGAAACCTTGTAACCATTTTTTTTATTTCTTCTTTGAAAACTCTGAGGAACATAAACATCATGAAACACAGTTGTATTGTGTAGCCAATGTCTAGTACTACCCAGTAACATGCGGTCAAGTTTCTAATGTTTTTGTCTTTACAACTGTTTGGTAAAGTCTGCATTAGGCCAAGTGGCTCAGACAGCTGGAGCTTACCCTGGTTTCCACAGCATTAAGTAATTAGGAGTACAGTGGAACCCCGTTAATACGACCACCTTTGGGCCATGAAAAATTGGTCGCATTAATGGGGTGGTCGTATTAAAGGGGTTCTTTAAACAAGAAAATGACTGACTGAGCTTTTTTTGGGCCAGAGTGAAGTGGCCGTAATAACGAGGTGGTCATATTAACAGGGTGGTCGTAAGGTGGGGTTCCACTGTATTTCTACTCTCCCCTGGGTGGGATGCTAGTCCAATGCAGGATTACTCCCCAGTGTTGCATTTGCTGGCACCCATTTATTTACTTAGGCTGAGTTGTTCAAAAGCCGGTTAACGCTGACCCAGGACTAATAGTTAACCAAAGTTTTTATTTTTCTTGTATGAAAATGTTTTTTACTGCTTATGTTTTGTGTAGAACTCAAAACAGAAGAACAAACAATATAAACAGAAGACCTCACCGCAAAGTTACAAAACTGAAATCAAAATTCTCACTAATCTTGGGTTAGCTTAGTCAGGCTTTGAACAACCCGGCCCTGGGTGGAGAGAGGCACTGTGAGAGTAAAGTGTCTTGCATAAGCAAACAACACAGTGTCCCCAACTAGGGCTTGAATCTGGACCACTTAATCCAGAATACAGTGCGCTCACCACGTCAAACTTTTACTCCAACTATCTGCCTGTTTTTAATTTTGTAGATGAGCCTGTGAAAGCCGCCAAACAAGCAAAGTTGGAGCTTGAGTTATAAGAGAACTGCAAGTAATTGAATCTTGTCAAAAGACAAAGTATACATAATGCTTGTTCATCTGTTGTTTTTGTTTTTTTTTTCTATTTTAATTTCAAGAACTTTTTTCATCCATTTAAAACAATACATGTAAAAGGACTTTGCTTCTAGTTGCTTTGTGTCTTAAAGGAAATTTTCACTTATTCCACTACAGCCTGTGTACCACAACACGCACGGCCTGTTATCATGTGTTAAATGTTAGTCTTTCTTCAAGCTTTATTACGCAATATGTAACTTTTTACTTGAATCATATTTTACTGTGCAATACATCGTTTCAAGCCGGTGTCAGCTACATTACTTGCAAAAAATTTCGGACGGTTTTAATTTCGGACAAAAAAGTGTCCGAGAATAAAACCGTCCGAAATTTGTAAGCGTCCGAAATATTTACAGTACAGTAAAAAAAAATTAAATAGCTCCAAAGCTCTTCGTTTCTTTTATGAGGCGAACTCAAGTTGAGACACTTCTTGACATACATAATGATGATGTATGCATGTATCTGTAAAACCTGGAGGGGGCAGTAAAACTATCATTTTCACAGATGTTGTTTCAGTCTAATTCGTGTTTTGTAGGCGTAAAGTTACTTTAGCTGTGTTTAGTCATAGTGTCCGAAACTTTTGTCCGAAAATTCTCCAAAATGATATAAAAAGTGTCCGAAAATCAAACGTCCGTGCATTGTTGCGCGTTCCTGGACGTGAAGAAGCTGGTGCGTTATTTTACGTTCCGCGAAGAGGCGAGAGCGCTATTTCTCGCTACGCAAAAAGATCAGCGCCTTTGCTGAGCAATCCCGCGTACTTCGGATGCACTGGCCGAGTAAACTGTGGACACACTGAATCATCGGCCTGAAATGTTTTCCTTTTGAACCAGATGAGGAAATCTTGCACTATTTCGCCACACGAAACATCTCTCGGTGGGTTGATTTTCCCAGCCATTTTCCCATATTATTCCTCCGCGTATGGGATTCAGAGCTTTCAATACTGACGGATTTCATTCGTCTAAAACATTTTCCCTTGGCCTGTGTAGCAGTCGCTTCGAGGACCACCAGCCCCACGAAAAAAAGAACGCACAAAGCATAAAAAGAAGAGAGTTGGGGATGAGTCGACTCTTCTCGTTCCAGGCTCCTTTTTTACCTTGATCACCATTGGCGCTCCTGTCAGGCTTGTTTCACTCACCTGTCTAGTAAAGCGCGACTGAACACGGGAGTGTATCCTAATATTTCCAGCACTGGCCAGCAATGCGATTCCACTGCGCGGACGGCTTCCGCGCTGAGGAGAGTCCTCCAAGCATCTACCAGGTTAGATGCGTTATTCCTAAGCGTGCCATACTCGTGAGTGTATCCACGGTCACGTGACTGATTCGTACCGTTGACTAAATACTTTCTCACTTGATCTGTCATTAGAATGCCAGCGAAATCAAACAATTCTTGTGAAGCGTTTAACGGTGAGCTAACAAGGTCTTCGTATCGAAGAAGCCTGTAACGATCGGGTAGCCTTCCCTCAGCCGACAGAGCGAAACGAAGAGATTGTATCGTACTCGAACAGAACTTTTGCACAAGAGTTGTAAAAAGAGGGAAGTTGGTAGCGGCTGTGTTGATAGCCGACTTGTTTAAACTCCAGCCTACTCGGTCCATAGAGGCAATCACAGCTCTTGGGTCGCGCATTAACTGAATGATCTTCAATATACCGCCACCCGAGGAAAGCAGAGGCTCAAGACGATCTACCTCAAGAGAGGGTAAGCGATGGGCCAGGACCTTGACAACCGTGTGTCCGTGAAGCGCGCAGGAAAGTGATGTGATAAGAGGATCCAAGTCTTTGCAATGTATGAAAGTCCGGTTATTTCTCGCATTTGTTATAGTTTTACAATAGGGCGTAGTCAAGGCACGGCTGGAGAAGCGATTCAGCTGGAATTGAGACATGAACGACAAAAACTCTGTTTGTTGCTTGAACCTGCATTTGAAGATGTCGTGTAGCAGTCTCATCGCTGCATACTCGTACAAACTCGAGGTACGCATGGACGTGAGTTGGAATGTGATCAAAGGTTCGTAGATGTAAAACACTTCAGGATGGCTGTTGAAAATCTGTCCTAGAAATGAAGACCCTGTTCTTCCATGTGCGATGATCAAAACGTTTGTTCTTTGAGTTGTTTTGCTTGAGGATTGAAACGCCACAAGGCTCGTATACCGAGAGAGGGCCCTTAGCGCGATACACGCCGTGACTCCTAGTGCAACAAGGGCCAAGATCCCGGGCACTCTTTGAGGTTTTGCCATGCAACAAAATTTTCCCAGATGTGCCCCTTCAAACGCTCGTCTAGATAGAAAATTGGAAATTAGAGTCGAACACACAAATAAACATTCTCTGCAAACTCGATTCTTGGAGTCCTTTCTGTCCAAAATATCGCCGCGTCACGGCTGCCTTTAAAACCATTTTCTGTTTGAGTGTCTGTACACAAAACTAATTTCTGCATACATGCCTTATATTGTTGTATTTTCACTTTTCTTTTTTTCTACTGCCACAATACAGTGCTTTCTGGAATTTTTGAGCTAGTAACACTTACTGTTAGCCCGGAGACCTAGACTCAAACAGAGAATGGTGTGCCTGTGACGCAACTTTAAGTACTTTGTTGCTATAGCGACCCTTGAGTAGAAACAAGCGTCTTAAACGGCTGAAGTCTCCATGGTAGTTTTAAAATACCAGCAATTGTCCGTTTGAAAATTAGGTCGATTGGCAGCATTGAGGTTAAAATTCGTTCGCTTGTCAGTAGTATTATCTGGGCTCTTGAAAACAATTAACAAGGTTTCTTTTGGCAAGAAATTTCAACTAACCACCTGCAGCGAGAAAATTTTCCAACGATGAAAATTATAATGAGGTCAGATCAGGTCTTCAACGAAATCTGGAGACTGTAAGTTTCTCCGTTTAGGAGACCATGTGGAGTTCAACAGCTGGGAGTTATTTTGCTCAAATCCACGCTTTATTTTTAAACGTATAGTACGACAGATTTCAATTTGTCCAGATCAGGCTGTTGAAAAGATTCTTGGAGCATGAGAGAAACCTTTCAAAATAAAGTAATGTTTATTTATCAGTATTTTTCCCCGTTGCCTCTGTCTCTTGAAACTGGCCATAAATCTTAGCTTTTCCACCGAAAATGCTATCATCAATACCAAATGAAAACGACACTTTTGGTCAAGCTTCATTTAGTTTGAATGTTTTTTTCGACACTGCAAAGATCACGAACCTTAAAGTGCGTTCATTTAGATGCGGAGCAAAAATATATGATTAGTGGCCTCGTCAAAGTTCACATGCAGTTATCGAATTTCTGTTCAAGATGGAATAAAAAAAACTTACCCACGGTGTTTCAGCTTGGCTAGATGATAAGCGAGGTCAGGTTGTTGGACTTGGGCGTTTCGGTTCACAAATCTCTTTGGATGTTATTTTCTTCTTGTTAAGTCAAAGATTGACGCCTGTTGACCCGAGTTGTTTTTCTGACTGCCAACAGGTATGAAACCACCTGCAGCCGAGTCAAGGACCGTGAAAAGTCATCAGTTCCGGCTGGTACTAGCACCTTTATACAATCTTATTTTCTCTCTTTCATTTGTGTAAACCTGTAGGACATTGATTGCCTAGTTACGTCACCGAAATCAATAGACCGTGAAGGCCTGGGGGAAAGCTGTACAGAAATGAGGCAAGGACATTGATACAATCAAGCGCGAAACTGAACCATTACCTTAGGTTTATGAACGTTGACGGAGTCTTCAAACGAAAATAATTCAGTGAAGGATTTGGAATGTCCGTTTGGGGGGGGGGGGCACTCCTATGTGAAAAGGTTGGAGATGCTTGTCGTCTCGCGTGTTCATGACGAAACACCATAATTTTTAGTCGCCAAGGTATCTTTTAGGGTTATACTCGAAAAAAAACAAAAAAATCTTTCGGGGTTTAATTCAAATTTTCCGACAAGCATCAGTTCCCCCCTCCTCCCCCGCTGGGTTGGGGTGTTCAGGGCATTAGGGTACAAGATGACGCTGTCTTCAGTTTGATAAGACGATATGCGTAGATGAGGATGCTAAAATATTAGTTCTCAGTTAATCCGGCGATTTTCAGCTATCGGTAAATCGCACATCTGAGATCTCATCCTCCGCGAAAACATCCACGCAACGCAGATTACCTTGGGAGGAAGGCCTTTAGGTAAACGTCAAGTCTACATACAAGCCAAGCAGCCCATCAGATCGGAGCTTATCCAGGTTTCTGTAGCATGAAGCGACTAGGAGTGTTTTTACCCCCCACCCCGCCCCCCACTGGATGGGATGCTGGTCCATCGCAGGGCTACCCCCAGCATCAAGTCCGGCGGTACCCATTTAAACACCTGGGTGGAGAGAGGCACTGTGAGAGTTAAGCGGTCTTGCACAAGAGCCCAAACACTTCTTGGCCAGGGCTCGAACCCGGACCGCTCGATCCGGAGACGGCGCACTAACCGTGAGGTCAATAAGGCCTATAGGGGATTAAAAACACTCTTACACTTCATTCTCTCTTGCATTTATTTATTACGTATTACATATAATACTACACAAGGTGTATCTGAGCGTACAGAGCAAGATATTTCGTTTTTATTGTCCAACTGAACTAAGTTAAAAACAAATGACATTATATATTAGCAAAGTAACAGAATCCGCTGTGCAGACGGCTCCTATTGCAGACTCGGATTCTTTCTTTGCCCAATGTTCGTGACAAGCCGACTATACACGCAACCTCGTTTCCAGAGTCTCTCTCTTCCCGCTCTTCGGGCAGAGAGACCCTGGGAACGAGGTTGGACCACACGTTATTTAGCAAACAGTGACAATACTTTTTGCAGAAGTTTGGAAAAAAAAATTAGTATATTTGCGTTACTAAATCTACAGTTGCTCAATAACATCAACTTGCAATTATTAGGATTGCAAAAACAGTGACGGGTCTCCCAAGTTCAAGTTGTATTTTGAATAAACTGTCCGCTTAGGCCCCTCTCCCGTCAATCAGTTCAGCTTGACGCTTAGCTGGCCTTTATCCAGTCACCTACAAGCTTTGCAACGTTCTGCAACAGAAACAAGACAGCAGTAAGAAAACAGAGATAATCTAACACGGAGTGGAGATTGTACTCATCGTAATTAACAATGATTTTCGTACCTCTACCCAATACCTACACACACAAACGCTGGCAACTTCAATTCATGAGCCAATCAAAACTCGATGTAAGAACTGGTAACCCGTACAAAGCACAGGAAGATTCATTAACTCGAATCTTGATTGGTTGAAGTAACAATATGTTTAGCTGGGTCTAAAGATGCACCAATTTCGGGAACCAGTTGTACAATTCGTTAATAATTTTACAAGGAATGGCCCAAACGAAATGGTTTTGTTTGGTCACTTAAGTGCGCTAAATAAACTCCTTTACAGAATGCATTCTATAATTTTCCTATTTGGACCGGGCTTTTTTTAATCTAGGACCGGGGTGGGCCCTCGCCCTTCAATTGTTAGAGCTTTTTTAAACTATGGCAATGAAACCTGGGGATTTATAGTTCGTCCATGCAGAAATATTTTCCAGTTTGAGATCCTTAGCTTGAAATGACGACGTCGTACCAATAAAACACCCGAATAGGCCCTCTTATATCACTTACATAGCTAGGCAGAGATTTACATCTGTAACCTGTTGTAATTTCTGGTACACCATGACTTTTAGTTTTCTCCGAGAGAATGTGCAACAAAAATTATACATTCGTCATGGCTACCTTCCAAATACGTTGCCGACCACGACACTGAACTAAATCCTTTTCTATAAGGCGCGACGCAAGTTTGGTGACCAGGTTTCAGCGTCAAACCTGTGTTGTTGTCACGGGTAACTAGCTCCGTTTCCAGTGGCAACAGGTCGGCCTTTGACGTCATTAGCATCAGAAACGAGGATAGTTACTTGTGGCAACACCGTGATTTTACAGTAAGACCAAAACTTTGCCACCAAAGCTTCGTCGCGCCTTACTCAACTAATAATCGTTGTAAGAACAGTTTCTAACAACTACAGGATGGTCTAAAGGTTAACAAACCTTTCTTGCTTGAAGCAAAGCCGGCGGATCGCTGGGTTGATCAGAGCCCATATTGGCACAATGAGACGTACCGGGGATAAAAATGGCCAGCTCCGATGCGCTTTGGTTTGTGAGTACACTTAACGCATGCCAAGGGTCTATGGATCCTGTGATAGCAAATGCAAAAAAGCATTAATAAAAACGATTTAAGCCGGGTATTTCTAAGACCTACCCATCAAGAACGCAAGAGAGCAGTATGGCCGAGTAGGGAATGAGGCGAAACGAGAAAAATCTCTCGTGCGCGCTGTGATCATGTCTCGTCCCATTCCCCTTCGGGCGAAAGCGTCTCGCCTCATAATCCCTGCTGAATACTGAGAGAAAAACAGACTGTCAGTAGTCTAGGTATTTCGGATCTCTCATGGTTTCTGGTAAACCAGGCTAATAGGACTCGACAAAAATCGCCTCGATATAATGGGTACTCGATATGCCATGAAGACGTGACTCGCTCAGAAAACGAGACACGTTTGAGAAACATTCGGAAAAACGAGACTCGTTTCGAATAACGAGTCTTTTTCCGAACGAGTCTCGTTTTGAAAGTCTCGTTGAAAACGAGACACGTTAGGAAAACGAGACACNTTTCTCCGCATATCTTGGAGAAGAAAAATTGCTGTGACCAGAATCTTGGCGAGAGTTTTTGCATATTTACCTTCTTTCATTTCCGAAATTCTGGACTTAATCTATTGAACGGTTTTGATTTTGATTTTTATCTATTTTGAATGGCGTGACACTGAAAACCAGCAATAGTTAGAATTTGAGCAGGTAACAATTCATTTAAGGGTAGATTAGAGCTACTGAGAATAAATGCAGCTGGTGGTAGGAAATTTTGAACTTCATTACTTGCAAAAACTTTCGGACGATTTTAATTTTGGACAAAAGAGTGTCCGAAAATTTTAAGCGTCCGAAATATTTACAGCACTGTATAAACTTTAAAATAGCTTCGAAGCTCGTTGTTTCCTTTATGGAACGAACTCTACTTGAGACACTGCTGGAGATATGTAACGGCTTGATAGAATTTCTATTTCAGTTCCCTACGGTGTAACTGTAAAACCTTGAGGGTGCAGTAAAACTATTATTTTCACAGATGTTGTTTGAGTGTAAAACGTGTTTTGCAGGCTTAAATTTGTGTTAGCTATGTTTTCGCAAAGTGTCCGAAATTTTGGTCCGAAATTTGTCCGAAATGAGATAAGAAGGGTCTGAAAATTAAACGTTCAAAATAAAACGTCCGAAATTTTAACGTCCGAAATTTTTTTGCAAGTAATGTAGTAAAACGCAGCAGGTAAAACTACGGGACTTTTTACAGTCCTGATTAAAAATAAAAAAGAAATAAGAATAGAAATGACCCTACAGTAACCAAACTGAGAGCACGTCTGATAGATCCACTGACGATACAAAGCTCCGCCCGTGGGATCTTGGGTAGTGTTCTCGAAAAGTTCCATGTAGGCTGTGTAGTTATAGTTGACGCAAGGCTTCGATAGGGCGAGAAAGCTCTGCAAGATAAAAAGTAATCAGGGAAACTAATGCAAATAAATACAAATCTCGCCTTTTGAAAGTCTCATTCTTCATTCATTCATTCATTCATTCATTCATTCATTCATTCATTCATTCATTCATTCATTCATTTATTCATTCATTCGCTCGCTCGCTCGTTCGTTCGTTCTTTTCTTCGCTCATTTGTGCGTTCGTTCGTTCGTTCGCTCGTTTGTTCGTTCGATCCTTTGATCGTTCGCTCGTTCGTTGGTTCTTTCATTCGTTTATTCGTGTGTTTTTCGGAGATGGCAAACATTATTATGACTCTGTATTCTCGACACATTCACTTGATGGAAAGATGAACATTTATCCTTACTTGAACTAAGAGCACAAGACCTTGATAAGGAGTCATGGAAGGGTTCGTCATATACTGGCACACATGCTGTATATTCACAGTTCCAGGAATTTGATTATTGTACTGAACGATCGAGTCCAGAACAGTCATAAGGTGCTGCGTGAAAACCCAAGTGTCATTCGGATGAGACATATCGCCGCACGAAGAAAAGTCTTCCTCCAGTTTCTGAAAGTTCTTCTCTGCAATCAGCTGGTCCACAGTCGTGAAGGCTTTCTTTATATTGCTTCGACACTAAGCATGGAAAGGAAATGAAAACCACGGCTAGTATTAAAGCCTGCATACGACCCAATGGGCCCCTCAGGGAGGCGTTTATGCCCGGTTTCTGTAGCACGAAGCACCTAGAAGTATTTCTACTCTCCCCTGAGTGGGCTGCTAGTCCATGGCAGAGTTACCCCCAGCATTTAAATCACCGGTACCCAATATACACCTGGATAGAGAGGGGCTCCCTGAGAGAAAAGTGTCTTGCCCGAGAATACTATGCAATGACCGACTGAACCAGACTGCTTGATTCGAGTTCAGCGCACTAACCATGAGGCCACCGCGCCACCCTTTCAGTTAAGAAATCGTGATAAGGTAAAAAATCTTACTTGTACAGATCCACCAACCCGCGGTGAAGCAAAACTTGCAGCAGCAACCTGTAGGGAAATGCACGCACATTTAAGTATACAAGCGACTAAGCGGTGTCCAGCTGGAGCAGTTATTTATTGGAGTTACCGCAGAATTCCGAAAGTAATGCCCCCACCCCCTGAAAATAACGGCTCCCTGAAAGTAAAGCCAATTTTTTACCTTCCTATTGAGCCCCAAAAGTAACGATCTCCCTGAAAGTAACGGCTCTCCCGAAAGAAGCTACTCTTTGAAGAAGTCACTAAAATAGAAACTCTCTGATCTCAAGCGCAATGCGTCCTCAATCCGAAAGTAACGGGGGCCGTTACTTGCGGAATCCCACGGTATTAAAAAAAAAGAAGAGAAACAAAACAACACAGAAGACTTCCACGGAGATGGAAGACGTGAAGTCCTGTAACCAATAAACAGAGCTCAACCGCTAAAACATAACATGGAGAAGATAAACGAACCAGTTTGAGCTTTTTCGTGAGGGAAAAACACGCCATTGTCCTTGTCAATTAGAAAGGAAATGGCGAATAATGGGAATGGCAGTCAATAGATGTGATAAATTGTTGAATTTTGTGAGCTGCTGCATGCTTCCTTCCCAAACGTAGTCATAATTCTCTTTTGATTAATCTTCTTTTTTCTCGTGAAACTACCGCAGTTTTTAGTTCACCACTAAATTTTCTCCGATTCTTATTGGTTTAAATTGATCACGTGACGCAATAGTGTTTATCCGCGGAGAGACAGTATCAGCCCTTGGTATCAGCCCATAGTGCCCGTCCGAGGAAAATACCCGGATGGATAGTACTCGTCCGTGAAAGCATTTCTCTAAACAAGCGGACTTATAGGATATAAACAATTGGATTTGTATTAAGAGGGTTTTCGTTTGTTTTCTTTTTCAAATTTTACATTTGGCTTTCACGGCTTTCGTCAAAAAAAGTTGAAAATAATTATTTTTGAACTGGCTCACGCAACAAAATTTAGTGGTGAACAATAAAGACAGTAGAGTGTTTATGTCTCGGAGCTATCGGTCTGATAGTTGCCCCTTGGAAATTTGATGTTCTTAAGACTAGCATATTTGTTCTAAGAACATCAAATTTCCGCGGGGCAACTATCAGACCGATAGTTCCTCGACAGAAACACTCCATTGTTTAAATAGATATAGATAGCTCTACCCAGGCCCCAGGCCCCATTGCGTTTCATCGGCAGGGAAAGGGCAATTAGTGAAGCGAACCAGCGAGCAAGACCTGGGGACAAGGCAGTGTTATTAAACCTACATTATTGTATCCCTGGAAGTCTGTCTTGGCCTGTACTGGAGCTGATGACGCGACTGCTCCGGACACAAGGTGAGGGTACTGGAGAAAAAGCAATCAACAAAAAGTAAAAACGATAAAGGACTCTTGCAGTCGAAACGGCGGAATTACCCTGCTTTGAAATAGACATTGTTTGTTTATCCTTTAGAAGAATCCTTCAGAATACAATGAACGTCAAGACCGTCACAGCCAATCAAGGCACACGTTTCATGAAAAAAAAAATTAAATAAAACTATATGCATAATTATTGATAACAAAACAAATGTTCAAATGTTGTTGTTTATGGGAGTCAAAGCGCTCAGGTATGCCACTTGAAAAACTGAGAGAATCAAATATATCACATAAACATAATAGGCTTAAAATTCCCAACTGGCTGGAGGCAGACTAGTTGGTTATTTACAAACACGACCGAGGAGTTGAATTAGGGTCTAAGAGAAACAACTCCAGCCAAGTGGTCAGGGCGAGAATTGAACCCGCGACTTCCGGATTTCAAGTCCGTCCGCCCTAGCTATTGCCACGCTGCCTCTCCATAACATTTTCAACTTCTTTGCGGTCTTGTCAGGTAAGTGTTTACCTTGAGTCTGAACCACGCTGACAGTGATCCTGGATAGGAGCCGCCATATGCAATCCATTTATTTTGATCGGTGAGGTTGTACATTTTCCGAGCAAAGACACAGAATTCAGCCAAGTCAGCCAAACTAAAAAAGATAAAGAAAATTGTACCAGTGCTCTATCAGGAAAATTTGACATTATTTCTGTAACAATCATCTGGTTTTGTAGTGATAATCTTCGTGTTAATTTAAGAAAACAACAAAATTAAAAAAATTCTCGATCCATCTGATCAACAGTTTGTTTCTCCCTACCACATCAACCAAATTCTCAGAGTCAATCTACTAAAGCTCACATTTTTCTCTCTGATAATAAGATCATCCTTTTGTCGAAGAAAACTTCAGGCAATAGTTTACTAAGTTTGAAAAAATAAAACAGCACTGAAGAGGCTACAACAGGATGTGTTCCAGGTGACAGTGACATGGGATCCACATAGTTTAATAGGAGTCGCTTTAGTACATTAGCCTAAAGCCTGGTTTTCACTAGCCACGACGCAAGCACAAGCGCAAGCACAATAATCCTTATTTCAACGTGAAAACGGCCTTGACGCAGGCACAAGCATAAGCGCAAGCTCGAGTACAAGGATGAAAATTTTTCCTTTTCCTTGTGGTCGCGTGTGCGCCGCTGCAACAAGTGAAAACGAAATATCGCTCGGGCATAACACAAGCACAAGGATATTTACCACACGCGGTCATGTTTGGCCGGTGAAAACACTGGATCCAGATTACCTCGCGCCTATACAGTTTTCCAAAATGGCGGAAGGACAGATGATTTTGCTTGTGCTTGTGTTTGCGTCGCATTTCGTTTTCACTTGGGTCAACCCTATTTCTTGTGTTTGTGCTTGCCCTTATGCTTGCGTCGCTAGTGAAAACCAGGCTTAAGTGTAGCCTAACCCACACTCCCGTATTTCTTCAGGGGGTCGGTAGGACAACACCTAGGCTATGATCCATGATGATCAATTCGTCGACAAACATTAAAACCACACGCTTCGATTAGGGCTCATCTTTAGGTCATTTAGTTATGTCGTAAAGACCATGCGAAGAAAAACAGTAGAAATCGATGGCACGAAAAGAAGCACAAGTTTTTTTTTTTTAGGGTGAACGCTAGCCCGGCATGCTGGGATTACAAGTGATTGACAGGAAAGGAGGGACTGGAATGAACTTCTAGGCTAGAAGAACAATAGACCATTTTACAGTTGTCTGCTCAGTGACCTAGCCTTTGAATGGCAACGAGGCTGGAGGTGACCTTGTTTAGATACAGACCTCACTGCTTTTCTTGTGCAAATCAAGTTGTTCTTATGTTAACTAGTTTGCATTTAAATGAGAAAAGCAGAGAGGTCTGTATCAAAGCAAGGTCACCTCCAGCCTCGCTTGCATTCGTAGGCCAGGTAACTAAGCACACAACTGTAAAATGGCCTATTGTTGCGGTTTAGCCTCAGTAGGATGTTTAGACTAGAGGAGAGGTGACACGGATGACGAACGAACAAACTTGTAAAATTTAGACTAAATTTTCCAGATCACATTTAACGCGACATCGCTTCCTTCGCTTCTTAACTGATTCATGACACAGCTACTTGACAACTTACGCTTGTTGACTCGAAAGGTAGACGAGGTTCTCATTCTCCAAACTGCCTTCAAAAACACTTAAACCATAATAGCGATGCTCCACTCCAAAGATCAGGCCACCATATTGCTCTGCTAGGTCGACAATATTCCCTGAAACAAATTGACAGCAAAACAACTCAGATATATGCGGCAACATGATCGCCTTATGAGCGCCAGGAGTGCTAGTGTTATCCTGATATCAAAAAGGAAATTTAAAGGCCCGGGGCGGGGGACTCCCAAATGAAAAAAGTCGAGACTGCTCTTCGGAAGAGTTGAAATAAACCCCTAATAGCCTCTTCCAGGCGTTCAGTTAGCTAGGGCACAGCGCGAAAAACGGCGAGCGAAAAAATAGGGAGAAGCGCGGCGAGAGAAGGCTTCTTCTAGCCGTACTTTTTTATTTTTCGCGCGCCGTCTTTCGCGCTGCGCCCCAACTAACTGAACGCCTGGAAGAGGCTAAACCCCTAAAGGAGACCAATCGGGGCGTGGCTTGGAGCTCTAATTGACCCCTAAAATATAACACTCAAAACGGAATGGGCTCCATTACAACCTGCTGTTCCGGAAAGGAGCCCGAGCTAGTAGATCGGACTCGAGAGAGTGGTGAAAATCGAGCCTAAAAAGGGAATTTGAGAGCGCTTTTTAATTGTTATCTCTTCAAGTGAATCCTTAAAGGTAATTAGACAGCTAAAAATAATGGCGTTTCGTCTTGAACACCCTAAGTGAGACCAAAATGCGTGATTTACACCCCTAAGTGAGACAACGAGCTTCTCCGACTTTTTCATACGGGAGTCGCCTTCCAAGATTAAGGGTTAATGGATGAAGTAGCTTGCAGGACCCTGAAGAGGCTCCTTAGCAGGGTTCGCTGAGAGTGTTTCTAGGTGTTTGTTAACATTGTTTGCGGAGCAGCAAGAAGAGCAACAAGTGAAAAAAAGACGACCAACCCTCGTCGAGTTTCTTTTCCTTTGGTTTTTCAATGGCTTTCTTCTCGCTGCTTACCTCCGAATCGCAAAATAGACATTCTTTGACCTCTTTAAGCTCGTCATGCGTTCGATACACTTAGCATGACGCGTGACGCGTGACAGGGAGCGCCACACGAATAACTGCTCACTTTCTCACGCTCCACTCCGCTAAACCGCCTACAGGCTATCACGCATTTCGATTTTTCCCACCCAAAATCTCTTCCAAATTTAGAGCCAAATAATTTTGAAACGTAAACTCCCATACGATGACTCGTCCAAAATAAAACCCAAACGAACGATCAAGCCACGGACTCATGCATCCCCCCCTACCTCCACTGCAAAACATGCTCACTTTGGACAAATATTAGCTGGCGACAGAAGTTTGTTGTAAAGGTCTGCCCAGGGCTTATTCTCTATCGGATTTTTACGGTATGAATATTCAATTCAGATAGTGTAGGGATTGTTAACCTCCATAAATCATGCATTTTGATATTTACTTCCGGTCTTAAAACAGCCCGCAGGCTATAAATGCAAAATACTGACAGGCCGTCCATAAAAACTACAGGAAGCTAGCTAAAATTTCTCCTTGCGGCCAAAAGAGAAGGTTATGAACATCTGCACGGTTCCGGCACGTCCCCCGGCGGCACACAGCTAGCTGACATGACAGTCCGATACAACAATTAACGACAACACCAACACACAGTGTGACATGCAAATCAGGGGTAAGGAAGTATGAATGAAGTAATTTATACATACCACCGTCTATATAACCCGCAGACATTGGAAACTCGCCTCCAATGTATAGGAAAACTGGTCCATGATCTTTCTCTTTCCAGTAGTTAGCATTTACCCAGTAACGTTGCTCAAACGTCTTTTGCGAAGGCTCAAAGTGATCCAGTGGTTGCTCTATGGTTTGTTGCTCGATAAAATCATGGCGCGCTTGGAGTGAATGTTGATGTTCGTGCACAAGCTGGCGAATCTTGTAAAATATCTCCGTTTGTAAGCATGAACCGTGAAGAACAGCAATTGACAACAACAGACTGTAAATCACTAAATTCATCGTGACTGTACAACCTGGGTTACTATCAGGGAAGTGAAAGTGATATTCTCATTATTTTAATTCGTATCTCCTGACTACCTCGTGATGGCAGCAAGTAAGACCTGGAGGTCACGCTATTTTTAGCAAATGGGCAAAAAAGCTCATAATTTCGAGTGAACCTTTGCTTTGTTTGATCAGCAGCAGAGCCTCACAGACGTAATGAAATACATACTAGACCGCCCTAGGCCAATGGTTGAAATTAATTAAAACTAGGAGGGATTTTATGTGTAGCTCAGGTCTCGATATCGTTCGATTTAGCATAAGCCATTGTCAATGTTGTGTCAACAGTCTGTATTTCCTGGGCCTAGCGAGTTCCCTTCCCTCTCCCTGCGATCGCACGTCGCTCTTCTTGTTCCTCCCCCCCCCCCCCNAATTGCATCAGCAAAAGCGCGCGCGAAAACTGTGTTCAGCCCCCTTAAATACGCGTGCTAATTTTTCATCCAATCAGGTGTAAAACTAGACTGTTCACAGCCTCTCCATTTATGCACGCGAAAGAAAAAGCGAGTGAAGCAGGCGTGGGTGGGGGGTGGGGTTTGCGACCGAAGCTTGCAAGGAGAATAGATCTGTCCCCACCCCTACCCAGTCAAGTCTTCCGTTTTGCGCTGGCGTGTACAGGCTAAGAGGTACCTAGACCGCATTTTCAACCCCTAAAAGGTACGACGAGCACCCACGTCATATTTATATCGGCGTTCCCCCCGGGGGGTTTTCCTTCTCCCTCCCCTTTGACTTGAACGCCTACATATAACCGTGCCAGGCAACAGTAGCGCCGTGACGCATGTCTGATCCACCAGGGTGTGGGGCGTCGTTTAAGCTTACCGCTGACACAAAAACAACGCGACGCGCATTCTTAGTTCCCTCCCGTTGCCTCCCAGTGCAGTTGTGAAAGTGTGCTTTCTGAAAGAGCTGTTCTCGACGAAACAGAAGGTAAGATTCGATTATTTAACTTAACAGTCGAGCACAGTTTGTGATTTCTTCGTAGCTACAGTCAATTTTGTCTTCTTCGTGCATGAGATATGTCAAAAGAAGCGTATATCGAAGCGAAATTCTACATGCAAGAGAATCGAACGCAAAATCGAATCACGGCCGTGTGAGGAAAAACCGAATGTGCAACAAAGTCACAGGTACATAGGGAAGAAATTAACTTTGTCATGTAGAATTCTATCAACCTGTTGTTAGAGGACTGAGGGTAACCCTTGGATGAGAAACTATGCCACTTTCATTGATGCGACATTTGAGAAGAGATTAGCGACGGTAGAGGCGCTTTTCGATTTCATGGCCCGCTCGGCTGAGTTGTCGTGTTTTAAGGGCGAAATAAGGCCATTTCAAGACTAGAATAGATGCAGAGGTATAGAAGAGAAAAAAATTATGTATTAAGCGAAATAGGGAAGCCCGAAACGTTCAATTTGCAGGAGTTTCCACTTCGGGACGAAAGTAGGTTCTTCTCGGTCGTCGTTATCGGGTCACGCAGCGTAGCGATATTGGAATGCTTTTTCCTGCACCATGCGAATGAATTTGTGTATTTTGTTGACAACATCGTCTAGAAAAGGAAGGTTTTCAAATTATTTTCTAGTCTTACGAATAGAAATTCAAAGCGTTTCCTTGACGTTGCCGGAAAAAAGAAAAATATCGTCGGTCATAAACCCGTTGTATAAAGGTGACCATTTTCATGGCCATATATGGTAACATGTGATGCTGCAAGTTCGTATTATATTAACTTTGAATCTCTGCATTACAACACGGAGCAGAAAATTTATGAACGGTTGCGAGATAAAACTATGAAGCTCTTGATAACTAAAATGTGTACAAGAGAGCATCCCGATCTTTGTAACTGCCTAGTGTTGTTTCGGCCCGGAAATTTCGCAATTCGAATTTTGCTCTGGTTGAACTCTAGGTGTTTACTTTCACGAAGATATTTTAAAAATTAAATAGCTGAAAATATACATTTGCACACTAACGTTTACTCACTACACGAGGATTAAAAGCCACCTGGTTTTCAGAGTTGAAGTTATACCCAAGTAACAAGCGTTGGCAAATTACAATTCAAAGTGCTGAAACAATGTTTTTCCTGGCTTCATCACGGTTACGCATTTGATCGGATTTTCCTTATATGGTTCTTGTCACAACTGCATTTTGTAACCACTGAAAGCAAATTGGTGATCTCATTTCATCAACAAACACTTGCTTATTTCTTGCTTACATAATAACGATACAACAGTTTTTTACTATATACGAATGATCGCATCCTGTTGCAAATCCATGAAGTAACGATTGAACGTGACAGCGTACATTTATCTTCCTTATAAGGTTTCTTTTGATACCTGTAACTGTGTTTTGTAACTGTTTGAAAACAGTGCTGAGTTTTGCATTATCACTAATAAATAAGAAACTACATGTCAATTCTACGACTAGTTCATTGCCTGGAGCCACTATCAAAGGAAGAAATTTCCAGATGGTATACCTGTCTTTGTTGTGTGGATATAAGTTTGACTTTAATTTTGTGTGCATTTGCTTGGCTGAGAATTTTGAAGTAGCACAGCTCATATCATAAATCATGACAAGCCCCTGATTGCAAGTGCAGACTAAAGTGAACTTTGTTCACATACATTTATCACAAGATTGGTTTTCCCAAATGTTCATTCTTTCATGCTAGATATTTGATTGGCAATCGGTCCAGTATGTTAAAACTCAAGTATCCTGGGGCATTTGGTGTGCATTTTTCATGGCATTTGCACCAAGAGAGTTAATTAAGTGTCAAATGCGTAAGCCGCTAGGAAGGTCTGGGGGTATGCCCCCGGAAAATTCAATATTGGGAGCTCGAAAAATGATGTTTGCGACATTTTCCAAGCAGCAGTTTCATAAATCAAAACATGAAAAGTGACATTGAGTATTTAGTAAAACTTTTGACATTTGCATGTCAACTGTTGGGATAATTGATAATTTCTTTTCGGTCTGTCTGCAACCTGAAAATTGTGAGATTTCATGTACGTTAAGACTGCACATTGTCTGCCCTTCTAGGTTTTTTCAGGGGTTTTGGGCCTTGTTTTCAAGTACATCTGCTATGTCTACATTTCTTCTACGTTCATTGTATATGACATTTTGGGACATTTTATGAACTGGTGTGCATTGAAATTTGTTTGCTCTGATTGCATTTGACAAAAAGGGAAACACAGTCCTAATGCTGACTGGAGTGAAATTTTGTGAGATAACCCCTGGATCTTGTAAGGGCCAATTTCCAATTCCCTCGGTTTCAATACGCAAGATTCACTCTAGTTCACTGACTTAAATTCAACTAACACTCCAATAAGACGCTCCTGTTTGCTTGTACATAATTCCATTAATCATCCACATCTTTATTGTTATCGTTACTTTGAGTGAATTGCATACACAACTACAATGTTCGCCGACATTTGCCATTACATGCACATTCGAAAAGATCATGTGACTTAAACGTGGGAACTAAACAGTGGGAAAAATACATGAACAATACAGGAAACCCAGCAACAGGTCTTGGACAGAAAATGAGCCTCCCTGCAGCAGGGGTGAAAACGAATGGCATCATTACAAAGCATGTGCCTATAAGACAGTTTCGTTTCTTAATAGTACTCTCATTTGTAGTATTCTGGACTGTGCAAATCAACATTAACATGGCCTGTTTCATCGGGATGCCGGGGATGACGTGTTTTTGTCACACTACTAGGACAATTATTTTTCTGTTGACAAACACAAGTTTGAATCGTTTTGGCATTGGAATGTTAATTGTAAGATTAGCTATGTTTCATTGGCTGTATTTAGGTTACATTTGGTGGTGAGTTTCAGTCGTGACGAAAGTTCAGCAACCCTCCAAGTTGCGACCATTTTAGTCGCCATGGCGACTAAATTAGAACGCACGTCGCCAGCTCGGCGACTAAAATTAACGTGACCTATGCGTCAGGAGCTTGAGCGGACTATCATCCGGAGCAAAAAGAAAAACGTTCTGAGCATTAAGAATTCACTTTGCAAAGCTAGTTGTTGTGGGATTTCAACCAACAGAAATGGAGACTGAATAAAATGAAATGTTACACAGTAAACAAAGATCAAGGAATTGCATTCAGTTGAGCTTGGGACGCGA